TTGTGATTTGGGAAGTGTTTAATGAGAATTCTAAGTAGGATGAGTAGCAACAGTCAAAACTGTTGAGATGTGTATCACATCTTTTATCTAATTCCCATTACCTACATCTGTTAATACTGATTTACAGACTTGCTAAATAAAAACTTGCTAAATTAAATATTGCAGTGGTGTCGGTGAATAATGAGGTGATCAAGTTAAATGTGCGGCTTGTTATTAGAAGGAATAGTGGGGAGCACAGTGCGATCAAAGCCTTAAATGGAAACTGAAACAGGGCGACACTCCTGTTAAACAACAGAGGGCGCACTCACAATGTTCTTAACTTTTTCACTTGACGTTACTAAAACAACCAGCTCATCACACTTTGGATTACCTAATTTGAGCTAAAATTCTGTAACATGTGTTTCCTAAATAGGACAGCATTTGCTTTTGTTATACAAATTTGTGGAAAATCTTATCTTGACCTTGTCAGATCTAAACTTAGGATAAAAGGTGGATGTTTCTGTAATATGGCTTCACAAAATGATTTACAAAATTGGTCAAAGTTTTTTTTTCTTTTTAACCTGAACAGGGTGGCAGAAATATGCAACTCTACAGAGCTGACTGATGCATTCTTAGTGGTAAGAATGGAAACCCAGGGAGTTTTTTTTATTAAAGCTTGATATTATTTATTAGATAAGGTTAGATTTTAGTTTTTTTTATTTCTGTGGCCAGCACAGTCCTAACTACAGATCAGCATGATTAACTGGTATACACTTTTGTTGCTGGGTTAAGGTACAAGTTTAATCATCAATTTGCATCAGAAAATGGACATTAGGACACAAGTAATTAAGAGAAAAACAAAAAAGTAAACAAATACAATCAGGTTTACCATATGAATACAGTCTTTTCAAATTGGATCTTAGTCACTTTTGCTATGTTCTCCTATGTGTACATATTCATGTCATGGCTATGCTACCTTAATGATAACAGACAGATTGGAATTCATCTTTTTTTTTACTTTACATGCACATATTATTGTCATCAATCTGTGTTGGCAGCACGGCAGCAGCAGCTAACTTGTACTAGCACAGGTTCATTCGCTTACACAGGATGGCCAAACTTTTTTATCTGAGCAAAAAAGCTAAATTCATTAATAAAGCTTGTAAGAGATATGTTAACATTATCTGTTAAGTAACCTTAGGATTAGAATTAGAAAGATTACAAAAAACAATAATATTATATTATGACACAAAACAATTACAAAAAATGCAAGGTTAAATAATTACAGGTAGGGAAGTTAAACTGATATGAGTTCTGAGACATCCTCTACAGATAACACGCTTCTGTTTTTTAAATACACAGTTACTGTTTATTTGCTGAATTTCACATATAGGAAAAAATAAAACACAATGTGTGGAAAAGTTATGGCACATTTTATAATTTATGTTTCATTATTTTCTTCAATATGTTAACATTATAATCCTTATAATCTCTTCTGCCTCTTTTAGAACACTGAGAAAGATGCTGATATTGCAGCAATGTTTGGTTCCCTGGAGACTCTCAACAAATGCAACATCAACAATCTGAAATTTGTTGAGTCATGGGTGCATGTGAAGCTGCTGCCTCTACTTTCACATGTGACCGAAGAGTTTCTGACAAGGCTGAGTCAAATTAACTTCACCTGTGGAGCCTACCAAATGATGTAAAGTCATTTTATGTATTTATTTCATTTATACAGTTTTTCACAGATTTTCAGTGTTCACTTTAAGTACTGGGGCATTGATGTCACAACTGTTATTCTGCTGTACAGTCAAGTATGATGGATTAGAGACAGAACATAACAATATAAAGAAAAAGTACAACATGCCCTTTTATGTATGGATAATGCTGGAAGTATGTATCTTATCATTTTGGAATTATAACACATACTACTGTGTTAAAACCATTAATTTTAAGCGTATGTATGGGGGGAAAAATCAAATACATCCATCATGATCCTTTGAAGTATTTTGTTATGGATTAGCTTCAGCTATATGCCATTGATTTCTTGAATGGTTTCTAACATTACTCTCATTTTCATAAAGCAAAATGCATAATTTTCATTTTATATATGATATATATATATAATATATATATATATATAATATACATACACACACACAACACATACACATAGGACAGAAGCCATTACAGAACTGTAACCATTCAGCAGAATCCAGACGTGTGCAGATAAAACTAACAAGATTGGTTTTATTAACACTAGGCAAAAACGTAGTCAAAACACAGGCATGGGTCAAAACCAAGAAGTGCAAAAAGATCATGAAAGTGATCATATCACAAGGCGAACAAAACAATGGGGCAAGACAAAAGACAAGGTCAAAAAGGCAGGCAAAATAGTCAAAACACAGATCCAAAATACCAGCCAACAGTACAAAAGGGGACAGGCAAAAGGCAGAGTCAAAAACAAAGCAATGGTCAAAAAACAGAATCATGCAGTCAGAAATAACGCTCAGTAAGTTCTCAGGGAAGCACTACCTCACACTGATGCTAACTAAAGCCCGGGCTTATATACTACTCTAACCGGATCATATGACATAGACACACAGGTGAAGCCAGTCAATACTCAGGAGATTGGGAGTGCTGATAGGTGTGTGAGTGCTTGTCAGAAGTCATATGATCCCTGCTTGACTTGTGAGTAATGAAGTCCGCTTCGGACTCTGATTCAGAAGGGAAGTTTGAAGTCACATGATCTTCCAAAGGAGCTTGGGAAATGAAGTCTGTTTCCGTCTGAGAGTTTGTACAATGCGTGACAAGAACAATAGTTCTTAAGTCTACAATCTTATGTTATCTTATTTCCAGATAAGAAAACAGTATTTCAAAAACATTATAAGTTGCCAAAATATCCTAAATATTTTCTTAAAAAGTAACTACACCCTAAGACCTTTTTTTCCATTAACAGCTGAAATGCGCTGCTTTGTAATAATAAAATATACCAGCCTTGCTTAAAGTGTGAACACATCTTTCGAAAAATATCGAAATGGCTTATACTGTTAAGGCTCAAGATGCACTCCCTGATCAGAAACACCTTCCCTCGTTGAAGATGGAGATGGTAGTAGAGAAAAATTGTCAACCTCATAAGACTCTTAGTAGCAAAAGTGCCGTTTGATTCTGTCTCTCTCCATATTTTCTGGTAGCTAATGTATGCTAGCTCTAAAAACACAGCAGCCCAGCCTGCCCGGTTTCCCTTGAAGGCCCACCTCCAAGCCCAAACATCACTGCAGTGTCCCTCCCAGCATGCCCCTCCCATTTTTGGGCATTTTTCAAATTGTGCTGTGGTGGAGTCAGCTGAAAATAGTGGGGTGTAGTTACTCTTTAACTTTAAGACAACCCCAGACAACCCCTAACTTCTGTTTTAATTGCCTGTTTCTATTGTTTTATGCAGTGAATGGCAGCACAGTTCACTATAACCAGCATAATGATGCTACATTTAGCTACATTAAAAATGGTGCTTTGATTTGTGAGTTTTTTAAACAGCGTTTTTTAAAAACTCAGGCGCTGCAGACACGATCTTCACACAATCATCCCCTCTTATTACCTTCAGGTGTTAATGTTTGATAAAAACTCATTAGATACAACATTACAGTGATGGTGGTGCATAATGAGGAGACAGAGCTGAACGTGTGTCTGTTTATTAAGAGGAATAACATTAGTGCGCACGGCTAAAGCGTTTGGAAATTAAACTGAAACTGGAGAGCAGCGACGCTCTGATAAACAGCAGGGGGTGCTGACACAATATTCTTAACTCGCAATTTATCGCGCTTTAGTTTTATTTGACCTTTTTACATCTGTAATGGCAGCTATCTGGCTAATTAACTTGATTATGTGTTTACGTTTCAGCTGTGCACGTATGGTCGGTTGCTAGGTAACAGACATGACAGTTGATTGTCGACTTCAGTCGAGTAAGTTAAGATTTCCTAACTTGAGATAAGATGCTGGAAGATAAGATTCTTATATTAAGATCAGATTTGCTTCTGTAATACAAATTTGTGAAAAATCTTATCTTGACCTGTCAGATCATGAGTTAAGACAAAAAGATAGGAAGTTTCTGTAATACGGCCCCAGGATCCTACGGTTCCCAATACTTCATAATTTATGCCCCCTAAATGTGCTGAAATGATAGATGTCACAGTTTTCAGAAAGAAGGCCATATATCCCTGCTATTCTGCTCTGTACATGTTAGGGAAATAGACCAGTCTTTTTTTTTTTATAACAAAATGCAACTTAGCTGACTGTGGTCTAGACACAATATGTGATTGTCTGAACCTAGAGCTGACCATTTCAATATACTATATGCAAATTAATAATGTTTGAAAGCTTTACTATATGAATAGGTAAAATATATGATACTTTATTGTACTAGTCATTATATACTACATTATGCACCCTGATATGCTGTATATGGAACATAATCCCAATATTGCCTATTATTTCATGCTTGTTTTATGGTTCAGTGTATTACTGTTTGGAAAGCAGTTAATCAGAAGTACTTCTGGTATGATTCTGAATTGCTTTCTGTTCTTCCTTTTGATTTATACCAGAGAAAAGCAAAAGCCAAAACCCCAAAGCACGTGTATGCAGCCCTGTTAGGTGTGTTTATGCAATACAATCTGAAGCATCTCACCCATTAAACATGATCTAGCAAACATTTACCTAAGCTAAAGACAGAAAGTGCTGTAATTAAAATGTAAAGAAACCAAAAATGCAAAAATACTTATTAATCTTCTCTATATATCCACTTGTCTAAGTATACAAAAACAAATTTGAACTTTAACGTACAAATATTAAGGAAGGTTGCTTTTCATTGTTGTCAGAAGATTATCAGATCATATTACGATATCCACTATGAGATGACAATCTTACATTAGGCATTACAACTGCACTCTATTATTATATCCTTTTTAACTGCCAGTGTAAGGGTTCTGAGCACACAGAGTGAGCTGATAACTGAAGAAAAACAGAAAATGATCTACACCCACTTCATCAATGCCTACCTGTCCAGAACAGATACCTCAGGTATGAATAATGATTTAAGTATATCAGTTTAAAAACTAGCTTGAACGGTACCAAGAACAGCTACATTCCTCAGGAACATTTATATAGTAATTGCAAAGTAAATTTGGACAATTATTGTTGTTTACTATTGTGTACTACAAACAGTACTGTATTAATTTCATAGGAGATCAAAGTACTGTAGATCATTTTAGAAGTATTACAAAGCACAACAGAAATGTTAGTTATTTGTAGTGTTTTGTGGGAGCTCAGGAAAACATGGACAGATATTTTAATGACTGTCTATTTTTATGTCAGATCCAGGTTGTGTTTCAAATGTGACTGACATCAAAGAATGGGTAGAGAAGAACATTGGGGTGCTCTTCAGAAATACCGAAGAGGTACAACTACAATATCAAAACTAAAATGTGTCCATTGGAAATTCACTAATTGAAGCATTGTCTAATATGCATTTCAGAATGGAAGGAAACATGAAAAATATTCTATTTTTTTAATCTTTCAATGTTTATTTTTTTTCTTTATCATTCTCTGAATGCAGTTTTCATCACTGAGATTCTTGAGTCCATCCCAAATAGCTGAATTTACAGTACTTTGTACATCACTAAACAACACAAAGATGATCAATATTTTCTTCAACTATTTGGAAGAAGGCAATGCTCTGCAAAACACTGATGAATTCTTGGTGGCTCTGGCCCAAAACTCAAAGGTAAAGTAAAATAATGAGTGTATCCATTCTACTATATAAAGAAAAACATTTTTAATGCTTGTGAGGATCCACAGCTGGTCCAACTGGTCCTGCTCTCCCTTTGTCTCTACCTCTGTTGTTCAGTGTGCAGCTTTCTAGGTAGAAAGGATGGCCTTGTTTCCCACTCCCTCTATCATTCAATGTAATGCTATCTAGGTACACATATCTGTTTGATTGTGCATACAAATGGTTAGCTTTTACCTTCAAAAGCACGTAGCTATCCAGTGACTTAGGATGAGCTGCAGCATGAAATATGTAGTGTCTTTCTTCACATGTCTTGGAGAAAGAATGTGCTAGCCCACACTCTGCCAGGCTGGTAGAATCAGGTGATAGGAAGAGACTTAGCTAGCTTGGGGAGAAGTGGCACTGGGAGACAAATTGGTTAACAATCCAAAAAAAAGCTACAGTGTAAGTTGAACATGTAACAGAGAGTGACAGACTTTTTTTTCCTTCCCTTGTTTTGAAAGGCTTTAAAAATTAATCCCATGGCGAGGGCCATCATGATGAATCGGACCTTCAACATCATCAGGGATCATTTCCCAGAATTTTCAATGGGTAACTGGAGTGACTGGTTCAACAGTAAACTTGTTCCCCTCCTCCCCAGTCTGACCACAGAAATGCTAACAACCATAATGGCAGAGGTCGACTGTGCCATTTACCATGTGATGTGAGTGCATATACTCTTTAAAGCAGTTTTTTTTTTAATTTTCCAACAGTTGTGAAAATGTGAGAAAAGGTTTTCCAGCTTATGTAAAATAGAGCTAACATGAATTTTACATTTCACAAATAGTGTTGAAGGCCTGAACGTGGCATTTGAGGAAATGACTTTGATCACAAAGCAGGAAATTACACTTGTTTTCATTCATTACCTGGAATCTCAAAAAATCAACAGTTCAGGTAGTCACACAGTCTCAGTCTCTAATTCTTTGCTTCATAATGTGGATGCTATCTTTCATTCTGTTTTTTTCAGTGTAGAGCTCTGTTTTTACCAGTTCCTCACTTTGCAGGCTTACCTTGTGGATCCAAAATGAATACAATCACCGCCTGGCTTTGGGTAAACTTTGGCAAATACTCCATCTATGTGACTCTGGAAGATCTGCAATTGCTCAGTAATGAGTATTCTAGTGTAAGACCCTATAAACTCTACAGATTTCCCTGTCAGGCGCAATGTGTTTGAGTTTAAGAAGAAATTAATGAAAAAAAACAACTTCTTTTGTTTTACAGTTTGCATCAGGGGGAGAACCTAACAGACAACAAATTCTAAAACTCGCTGCTGAACCCACAACACTTTCTGTTTCAAGGACAACTGCTGAAACTCTTAGAAATACTATAATGATGTCTGCAACTGATAACGATTCAACTAAGAATTCATTAACAACCAATCATTCATCAGAAGAATCTAAAACAACTCTTTCTCTGTCTTCAAAAGCAGCGTCTTCTACAAATGTGCATGTACCTTTATCAAAGACATCAACAACACTGAAAACTTCATCAGAAATATCAAAAGCCACATCTAAAACTTTCTCAGATATGACTGAAACAGATGGTGATGTAAGTTCACTGGAAACTGAAACAACAATTACATCTGCACGTTTTCCTTTGGCTTCAGCAAGAGATATAAATATTGTACCTGCATATCCAATGACAGCTACAAATGCAGCTGTTCAAACACAGAGAACATCTACACAAACGTCCATGAGTGAAACAGAAGAGGCTGCTCTTCTCAACACAAAGCCCACTGAACCTCATAGTTTCATTCAAGCACTGTCCACT